ACAGTGGTTAAGAGCTACAGCTGCTTACCAAAAGGTCGGCAGTTCAAGTCTACCAGCCGCTCCTTGGAAACTATGGGGCAGAGAGAGAGAGAGTGTGTGTGTGTGTGTGTGTGTGTGTGTGTGTTTGGGATGTAGAAAGGTCACTATAAAATTATTTAAAAATCCAATATGAAGGTCATTGTACACTTGTTTCTAGCTAAACCAGCAACATAGTAGGGCCATGAAATCGTGCATGGGGTTTTGTCTTCCAGCGTTGGTGGAAGTGAAATATGAGTACCATATGCCTGAAGTAGACTGCTAGTGTCGATCGTATTCCAGTATTTTTTTTGTTTGTTTTGTTTTTTTTAAGCAATTGTACTACCTGTGCTCCTCAGCTCTTCAGGAGCCTCATCAGCCATGGCCGGGCATTTCAGCTGTTCTGATGTGGTCACTTGTCGTCTTGTGCAAGTTGAAAAGGCCTAGTGAGAGGCAGCCTTTACTTGTGTTGAGTACTTAGTCTAGTGATATTGTATTTGTTTTATACCTTAGTTTCCCAGTACAGATATTACCAACACAGGCAAAGGTGGTGTGAGTTAATGACACAGGAGGCATAGCATCCATTCACTAAACCACAGCTGGCAAAAACTTGGATTGAGGAAGGCCCTACCCAGGTAGATAAATCATGCCTGCCTGTGTGTTTCTTCTCTGTCGCGTCAGTGCCAGAAGCTCAGAGCGTCGTCCTTCCTCCAAGACTCCCTGTCTGGAAACTCACCTGTTCTTTTACTTGTAAAATTGTTAACAAAACAAAGTCACCTGCAGATGGAGTGAATCAGCAAGATGCTGTTACAGCTCAGCTGTCTTCACATCACAACTTCAGAAATAGATGCCCTGCAGCCAGAAGTCATGAGTTCTATTTTAAGCACCCTGCAGTAGTTCTTAAAAGAGGGATGATCTGAGTGAGTTCTTTGTGGATGTGGGCTCTTCTTTTGGATTTGGTTAGGGTTTTTGTTTTGTTTTGTTTTTTTGCTTTCCTATGTTTTGGGGGATTTGGTAAATGGAGCTGGAATTGACAGAGGGCCGGGGAATAGGAAATCCCACTGCAGAAGGAGCAGGAAATGCTTATTGATGTGAGTCCTATATATAAAACAAGATAATCCCACACTATGGCCTTCTGGTTCCTAGTGCTTATCGTATGTGATGACCCAGTAAGGCCACAGAAGCTTTTCCAAGAGAGGGTGCTGCCCAGCTTGAGGCCCCAGGACCAGCTCTTCAAAAGGACTTATGTGTAACTTTGAGTAGAGTCCCTGAATATGGAGCCAGAGTGTCAGTCACCTGCTGAGAAGCAGGGCTGTCTCTGTGTGACTGCGTGTTCTTCTGTGGGAGCTTCACCATATATACCCACCCATCTTGATCGCAGACGTGAAAGATTTATTGTTGTTGAGATACCAGTTCAGCTCTGTCCTCCATACGCCAACCAAGCATTGTAAAGAATTTATATTAAGTTTAAGTCCATCAGTATGAACAAAATCCCATCTTATCAGTACTTGAATCAGCACCTGAAAATGCCGAGCTCCTGGCAGGCAGTCAGCAAACTCTTGGTTGATTGAATTTTTAGTCCTTTATTTTTATCTTTCCTTCACCTAGTTACAATTGACCACTTTTTAACAGAAACTTTCTTCCCAAAAATGACTGCCTGTCACACTTACGGAGTCCCTGGGTGGCACAGACAGTTAAGCACTCGACTACTAGCCAAAAGGTTGATTCAAACCCACCCAGAGGCGCCTTGGAAGACAGGCCTGGCGATCTGCTTCCGAAGGGTCATAGCCTTGAAAACCCTGTGCACACATGGGGCCGCCATGACTCGGAACCTACTCCACAGCAGCTAACAACAGCAGAGTCACCCTGACAGAACCATGTAAGTAGCACCCTTGGGACAAGCTACAGTTGGTTTCCTGTTTCACAGAAGAAAGAATGCCGTCTACTGACTTAACTGTCTATAGTGCTTAAGATGGAAGTTGCTAAGTCAGGCGAAGATCCTCTTTCCCTTGGTTCTGTTTGGCCTTCTGTCTCTGTCTGTTTTGTGTTCATTTTTATACCAGTCTTCCGGGTGCACACTACTTATGCACTTTTTCTCCATTCTGACAGAAAGATGAAAAATGTACATTTTAAAATGGAATGAAAACTGCATTTTCTGGTGCCATTTCGTTATTGTTGCTATTATTATTCCCAACTCTGTTTGTTCAGTTGAAGAAGGGAGATAATGATTTCTGAACCCCACAGTACAGTAATATTCCTCCACAAGTGGGTAGTATTTGAAGGACTGTTTTGTTAGTCTAAATCAGTGTTTCAAATGTAAGAGAGAAATTTGTTCTATTTCACTAAACCCAACTTTAAAGACTCCCTATAAAATTATTAACAAAAAGGATACCAGATTCATCCCAGTAATAAACAGTGGGCAATGGAGATTATATTTATTTTAGCAGTATTATTTAAAATTATTTTCTATCTACTGAAAACACTTGCTTTGCCTCAGAATTATCTGCAGTGCTTCAGTTCTTAGCATCCCTCTCTATCCTTGGAGTGTCAGACGGCGCACGCATCCTGATGTGTATGTTAGCTGGCATGTTCTCACCAGAGATCAGCTTCAAGCAGGAGTACTGTTTTCTTGATTTTTGAGTAAGCAAGCGTTCTTCCATTTATTTCTAAGATTTTGAAACATGATGCTTGTAAATTGCTTGCCTTCTCGGTAAAAGTACTCAGTAGGCATTTCTGCTGCTTTGTTATTGTTAGGTGCCATCAAGTTGATTGTCAACTCATAGCAGCCCCATGTGTAACAGTAGAACTGCCCCATAGGATTTTCTTGGCTGTAATCTTTACAGGAGCAGATCAGTAGGTCTTTTCTCCCATGGAGCCACTAGGTGGATTCAAACTGCCAACCTTTTGGTTAGCAGCCGAGCACTTAACCGTTGCACCACTAGGGCTCCTTTACCTTAGTAGGAATTTAAAATTCTTCGTATAAATCCATTGTCTATAATTGCCATAGCCTTAATATTTATTCTTGGTTTTGACTTAGTTAAATAACTCGTAGTACAGGCAGTCCCCAGGTTACGAGCGAGATCCGTTCCTAAGTGTGTCCTGCAGTCAGATTTGTAGGTAAGTTGGACCAGGTGCCTACAGTTCTTATTTAGCCTTACTTTAGTGCAAGAAAAGGCCCAAAGGCTCTTCAGTGATTTTAAAAGCTTCAGGGGCAGCAAGTGAAGGTGATTATCATGAAAAATTTTTGCAAGTAGGGGTTGGTTCAGTCGTTTTAAAGTGAGGGCAAATTTACATAACATTAAAGGGCAAGTCAGAGTTGTCTGTAAGTCACATGTTCCTCGTAACCCAGGGAATTTACACTGTGTTGCCTTTCAAAGAGATGAGAAGTATAGTGATGAAAGACATACTTCAGGTGAATTCATCATTTAATTACGACAGTAAATCAGGTTTTTTACAGCTGATTGATCTTTAACAACACCTAAATTATTTTAATTTCCCCAAACATCAATCATTTTTATCAGTTATGTTAATTTTTTAATTTAACTTTCGTCCCTTCAGTTTGTAAAACCACGTCTCTCAGTATGCATTATTGTTTTCTTTGTAATTACAGGTGATTTTATAGTCAGCAATTGCCACAATAACTGGTTAGGACTAGCTCCCCTGTTACTGGCAATAATTTACATAGTATACTGTTCCACGTAGAACTTGTAATTTAAAGTGATTCAGACGTCGCACGTCCTTTTGTCATTAATCAGTATTATTGCATTTTATTAGAATAAAGAGCATCAAGGGAACTGGTTCTGTGTTCTTTTTAGTCAGAAGATTAATAAATTTTGTAATTGAGATCATACTATCCATGTTGAGACCAAATAATTTCAGATTTGTGGCTAACTGTTTGCATTTTATAACAAGCTGTTCTCTTGCAGACAGAGTAATATGCTTTCTATGCTTCAGTTGCTATTTAAAATGTTCACATTTCTACCTCTGAGCAAACGTATCTGTGTAAAATGACAGCTGAGACAAGCCATCAGCATGACTGCCGGCAGTGTGGTGTGTGCCATGCACAGAGGTAGAATGACGGGCTCAGGTCGGAGTCTCCATGAGGAGCAAGTCCCTGGTCAGGAAGGACGGGTTCTTGAGCAGCCCTTGTAGCCAGCGAGCCTGTCAGGGCTGCCTGACCCCCAGTTCCTTGCCTCTGCTGCGTGTTCAGAGCAAATGCCCCATTCTTTCTCAGCTGGCTGGGCAGCGCACTGGGAAAGCCCTGCACTCTCTAGTTGTCCCTCCGTCTTGACATGTTTAATCAACTGTCTTCGCATTTCTTTGTCCCGATGAATTGATCTGTGTCTCTGATGGCTGGTGCAGGATGATTTTTCAGTATACCTCTGCAACTTCTACATTTTTCTTATAAAAGAATAATGTGACAAAATTTCTTTTAGGTTGTTATATATAATACCCAAAGGAAAACAAACTACTTCTTAAACATTAGCTTTAAACTATTCTCTTAAACCCTGTTATGTTGTAAATACTGTGGATGTTGTGGTCTGTAACTGACTTTGAATTTTCGCTGAGAGTGGGGTCAGGAGTGAGAAAGTCGCAACCTTAAAAAGGTCGACAAACCTGATCGGACCTAGTACACTAGTCTCCTTTCGACTTTCTACTAAAAGCCATCCTAAAGGTAGATTAAAGAGCTCTGGTGGTGCAGAAGTTAAGCACGCGACTACTAACCAGAAGGTTGGCAATTCGAACCTACCCAGTGGCTCTGCTGGAGAAAGACCTGGCAGTCTGCTCCCGTAAAGATTGGAAACCCTATGGGGTGGTTCTACTCTGTCACATGGGTCATTAGGAGTCGGAATCGACTCCACAGGCACCCAACAACAGGAAGGATGGGTTATCCAAAAATTATTTTGAAATTGAAGTGACCATCTTTCGTTTCTCTCTACATTTCACTTGGGATTGTTTTCTCTCTCCTTTGGTCCCCTCTTCAGTTTCATCGGGCTGGGGAGAAATGCCTGATGTTCATTCAAAGGCCGAAAAGTCTTGGGGAGAGCCGTCCTCCCCTTCTACCCTGGTGGACAACGGCACGGCAGCGTGGGGGAAGCCCCCCAGCAGTGGCAGCGGATGGGGTGACCACCCTGCTGAGCCGGCGGTGACCTTTGGAAGAGCTGGTGCCCCCACTGCTGCCCCAGCCCTGTGCAAACCAGGTGAGCCCAACATCCACCGCTCGAACAGGCAAATTAGGGTTGGGTCTGGGTGTTTTCATGCAGAGAGAGACTTAATTAGATGTTAAGAATTCGTATTTTAGGACACACCCCTCACTCTGTTTATACTTTAAGACTAACTCTAAAAAAAGACTATTTAAAACAAATACCGTTTCGGATATAAACACAAAGGACCTGCTTTTAACAGAACTCCACACCCTCTTGTTTAAAATAAATAAATACAAGAATCAACACCATCTTGCATGGATGTTTGATACTGCTAGTTGCAACCACACTCCTTCATTAGTGCTCTGTACCTGCCGCTTTAACCAATTTAAGCTTGCTAATTCAGTGAGCAAGACAGCACACCACTTGTTTTTCTTGAGATTAATTTTTGAAAGCATATATTACTTCACAGTAGTGGGACACATCCTACCATACTTGGGTCTTGTAAACACATTTCTCCCTTGAATACTCCAGGTTTGTGCTTAAGCAACTTGAAAAAAGAAGAAAACACGCTCCATTTTCTTCCCATTGATTGAAAATGTAATGAATAAGCATACAAGATATACATTCTTTAAATGTCCAGGTCATGCTTACCAAGTTGGATTCTTGTCCTGTGTAGGTGTTTGCATTGTGAGACTTAGGACATTAACATGATTTGAAGATCACGGATCTGAGTCAAGTTTGATAATAAAATTAATTAATTCTGATGACTACAGAAGCTTCATATTTTTTTTGGACAGTAGTAGATGCCTTAGCTCTGGAAATGCGACTTTATGGTTTTGTATCCTGTTGTTTTGCTAACACTGGTAGTATGTTCCTCATAGCCATCATCCTGCTGGCATTATTTATTCCACTCATATTGCTTCTTATTAAAAATCTGACAGACACAGGAGCTTCTGAGTATGTAGATTTACAGTCTGTTTTTAGGTGGTGTATTCTGTTTATCATTTGTCCTGGAGGGCCCAGTTATCAGAAATGCAGATGCCCAGGCCCAGCCTCCGATCTGCTGCCGGTGATCCTGGTAATTTTCCCATGTGGGGACGTTTGGGAGCACTGGTCTGTCTGACACGCTGCTCCAGGTTTGTGTCAGCCGACGATTGAGAGCCACGTGGAGGACAGGGACATTTTTCAGGACTTTACATTTTAGTAAGCCTTTCATACCACGGGGAGACTGCCACCTTGTCCTGCAGCCCCCCAGGATTGACTTTTAGAATGTCTTTGTTTCAAAATGATTTGTAGTTTGTTATGGGAGTTTGGAACTCCATAGGCTACAAATAGTGTGAAGAAAAAATTGTGTATACATATACAGACATATTATATATCTAATAGGAGAAATTCAACTCCTGTGTCTGGGGAAAATTAAATAGTAAAAGTAGGTTACAATACACCCCTTTTCTCCTACCTCCCCCTAAATTATAGTGAAGTATCATCTATCCTAGAGATGGTGAATTTGATGAGTTCCTGTCTGCTCTCTTTCTAGCTTCAAAATCTATGCAAGAAGGCTGGGGCAGCGGTGGGGATGAAGTGAACCTCAGCACCAGTCAGTGGGAAGATGAAGAAGGAGACATGTGGAATAACGCTGCTTCCCAAGACAGCACCTCCTCCTGCAGCTCCTGGGGCAATGCCCCCAAAAAAGGACTTCCAAAGGTGCGCCCACCACCAAAGAAAGCAAACCCCGACCATCGGTGATATGCAAAGCGCATTCAGTGTAGAGGTGGTTGTCTTAGTCTGGATTCTCTAAAAGAGCAAGACCAGTGAGATGGGTACATATGGGGGTTACTTAAGCAAATGGCTTACACATGTATGGGGGGTGGCAAGTCCCAGATTATAGGTCAGGTGCCAGGCTGGAGACCTCTGCTGGCTCGCAGGATTGCGGGGGCTGGTGAATCCAAAATCGTCAGGTCAGGCGGCAGGCCAGAGACTTTGCAGGCTTGCGTCCCAGGAACTGAAGTTCAGGCAACAAGAAAAATGCAGGGTCGAGAGAGTGAGTTTTGTCAGAGCATCCATTTATATACTGGAGGCAGGCTAGTTTCCCCTAAGAAAACTCCCCTTTCAACTGATTGGCTGATCACATAAGATTACATTATGGAAGATGATTACATTATATTATGTTGGAAGAACACCCAGTCCAGTGTCTGCCACAACCACTGAGAGTCACAGCCTAGCCAAGTTAACACATAACATTGACCATCACAGTGATCTTTCAAATTACTGGTGAGAAGATAGGCCTGAGGTTCTCAAAAAGTATAGTTTGAGGACCCCTGGAGGTCCCTGAGACCTCACAGTCAAAAACTTTCATAAGACTACTAAGACTTTTGTCTCTTTCATGCCCCTTCTCTCCTGATGTAGAGTGGAGTTTTCCAGAGACTGCATAACACTGACATCACAGCAGAGTGAATGCAGAAAGACATGAGAATCCAGCTGCTTCTATTAAGCCAGACATTAAAGATATTTGCCAAAGTGTAACACAGTGCCACTCTTCTCACTGAATTTTGTTGTAAAAAATATAATTATTTTTCATTAAAAATGTTATTTATTTTAGCATATAGTAGGTTTGTTTTTTAAACAAATTAGTACATATTTTTCAAATTTCTCACTTTAATTTCTAATACAGTAAATATTGATAAATATAGTCCCATAAACAAAAGCTCTTTGGAGTCCTCAATTCTTAAGAGAGCATAATGGGGTTCCGAGACCAAAACTTTGAGAGTCTCTGAGGCAGACCGTTAAATAGTCTTGAAACAAACGCACAGCCATCTGGGGAAAATTACATCAGATCCCCAATTCATGTATACGCCAAGATGAATTTCAAGTGAATCACAAATTTAAATATGAAAAAATAAGAGAGAACTTTAAAAGTAAACTTGGAGTGGGAGAGGCCCTTGAAAGGAAAGATTTACAAGTTTCAGTAGATACATATAAAAACTGCATAACAGAAAATACCATAATCAAAGTCAAAAGACAGGTGACAAACTGGAAAAAAAAATCTGTAATTCGTATCCTAGAGAAAGGGTTGCTCTCCCTAATGCATAAAGAGAGGTCCTAGAAACTGGTTTAAAAGGAAAGCAACAACCAATAGCCCACTAGAAAAATGAGCAAAGACTGTGACTAGATGATCCCTAGAAAAGGAAGTGCAGACAGCTCCTGGACATATGAGAGAACATTCCACCTGACTTGAAGTAAAAGAGAATTCAACTTAAAACAACACCAAAAATAAAAAATCTGACTACCACTGAGTCTGTTCCAACTCATAGCAACCCCATAGGGTTTCCAAGGCTGTAAATCTCTATGGAAGCCGACTGCCACATCTTTCTCCCGCGGAGCACTGGTGGTTTCAAACCGCCGACCTTCTGGTTAGCAGTTAGTCACTTTAACCACTGCACCACCGAAAACAACTTCTTAAAACAACACAGAGAGATGCCGTTTTTTCATCTCTCAAACGTACAAACGTTGAGTGAGCACACTGCATTCGCTAAAGCGTGGAGAAACCAAGGGCTCTTGTTCACTGCTGTTGGCAGTAGAGGCACCCTGCGTTTCGTCATCTTTTAGTGCAAAGCTTGTAGAAGGGCACGTGGGGGCAGTTTGACATTATCTGTCAAACGTACAACTGTGTAAGCCCTGCGACCCAGCATTTCCACTCATCATGGCGATAGCAAATCCGTTTGTACACAGTTCTGTATTGCAGCATTTTTAAAGTAGAAAATATAGTTTAAAAAAATGAAAATAAATGTACATTGATGGGGTAACAAGTTAAATTATGCCACATCTGTATTATGGAAAGCTAAACCAATTTTTTTTTAATGAAATTATAAAGTACTGAAAAATGTATAGTATGCAACCAGTTGTGTGGGGCCAAAAAAGAGGAGGAAAAAGTATGTGTGCAGTGACTTCCATAAACTTAAAAAACTCTCTGGAAGGGTAAATAGGAAACTGCTGTGCGGGTTTTCCTCTTGGAAAGAAGAGGAACTCAGCATGTGTACCTTTTTATACTTTTTGAATCATGTGAATGTATTATCTATTCAAAAAAAAAAAAAGAAATGAAATTTTAGAAAGCATTCAGTTAGCAGGAAGTAGAACCCAGAGACTAAAACCAGGACTCTGGGTTCATAAGGTGTAGAAGTGATTACAGACATCAAAAAAGAGACTTTTCCCAACTGGGCTTGTAAATAATACAATTAACGATAGATAGCACCAGAAATACCAAATTGGTAAATTAAAGTATTGTATCATCTTGGCTAATCTGGCTCTGGCATCATAATGATTAAAATAGCCCCCAAATATGCTCTTCCTTGAGGAAAGAAAGCATGTTAGTTTAATATAGCCCCTCGTGCATAGTCTATCAAGATGTTACGGCAGGATCCGTTTAGAAAAGCATTTTGAAGAATACTTTTAGCGGGGCCTTTCGTAATGTGTTAGGGTACCGTTAGAGGCTTTGTGATTGTAGGCTAGGAAGGAGGTCCTTTGTGCTCACGGGCCCTTGTGTGGTGCCCTTTATGCCACCTCTGTTCTGCCTCTCCCAAGTTGACCTTTCTTTTGTCTTCTCATCCTCTCCCCAGTGACATTTTCCCGTTGATTCCTTTTCCTCCACTCTAAGGCCTATGAGAAATGAGTAAAACCAAACAAAACCAAACCCGTTGCCATCGAGTCAATTCCGACTCATAGCGACCCTAGAGTTCAGAGTAGAACTGCCCCATAGGATTTCCAAGGAACGGCTGAGTGGATTCGAACTGCCAACCTTTTGGTTAGCAGCTGTAGTTCTTAACCACTGCACCACCAGGGCTGCAACAAATGAGTACTTAATAAAATTAACAGGTTTTTTGTTCCTTTCTTCTTGTTGCCTTTTCATTCTGTTGGAATGAGCCCCATGCATTTTGTTATCTTTTAAACAAAGCTTATGAAATGGTAAAAACCGTGTAATTTTTTGTAAACTTCATATAGTATTAACATAGGGCCATGTTCAGGAGAGCACCTGTGATTATTTGACAATGGAAGTAGTAATATTGGTGATGAACTGAGTTAGTTCCCTTGAGAGGATAAATAATCATCCGCTTTTTTAAAGTCCGTGAATTGTATGCATATACCAGCCTACCAGTGCACCCTGAAGCATTACCCATAGTGCTGGCCACAAAGTACTGCCAGGAATTTTCTGGAGTACATAACTATTCAGTGTTAATACAGAAAGAGTCTGTGACTTAAAGCACCATGAACATAGGCAGAAGAAGTGCACTGAGGTGTAACTAACAGACTCTTCTGTGCCCACACTCCATTCCAGGGCATGAAGACGGCCGGCAAGCAGGATGAAGCCTGGATCCTGACGCGGCTCATCAAACAACTCACCGACATGGGCTTCCCGGTGACTGGCCCCCTTTCAGTGCTCCAATCACACTTCCCAAAGTGCTGGGCCCCGATTCTCCCTTATCCATGTTTGTTATGTCTAATAAGGAAGGGAGAGTATCTGAGGGATGAGATTATTGACATAACCCGACTTGTAAATTCCCAGTTGGCAATTTTACATTGCTGATTTTGGTTAGGATTTGTTACTTTGGACTACAGAAAAAAATCCACATAATTTCTATCAAGAAAGGTGTTAGATCCTTTTCCTAGAAGAAAAAATGCTGTGTGATTTCTAATTTTTATTGGTTTATACAGCTTTATATTCTAATTTATAATTAAAAGTTAATTTTCATTAGTTTATGCGGTAGATTGACAAAGACCACAGAAGAAAGCTGGTTGTAAAGTACTAAAGTTTCATGTCCAGAAAAAGCATCCTACCCAAACCTGTGTAGCTCCTGAGTCTCAGACAATGCGTGGGGGGAGTTGAATCACAGGGTATTCACCTGAAATTGAATCACCCTCTGTTAGGTTCCCAGGATTGGCAGCAGGAGTTCAGACAGTGAGGGATACTGACTTCTGCCCTTTGTTCCCTTCATATGCCTTCCTTCCAAATCTTTATTCAAACGAATATTTCTCTTTAGATGACTGTGGATACCCATGAAAGAGTGAGTGTAGAATGGGCTCCATCTTGGGGAGAGGCTGCTCCCGCTTTACAGTGGCTGCCGCCCTGACCTGGGCAAGGCACTTACTTGGCCCTCCCACTAGTCTGATTGTCTGGAGTGACAGCAGGATGCATGAGTGCCAGCCAGAGGATTCAGACCACACTGTGATGGTCTAGCATTGTACCCCGGGCTTGAGCATCCACTGATTCAGACCACACTGTGGTGGTCTAGCATTGTACACTGGGATTGGAGCTTCCACTGAAATCTGTCCATCCTAATCACAGGGAGAATTCTCTATATGGGCCTCCTTTTTTTATGTTTTTCCATTTCTTGGTGAGAAGTAGTTGAAGATAGATCCTAGGGTCCTGAGGCAAAGGATGAAGCCCTCCCACCCTGATGTGACCACTACAGTGGCTGTGCTGTTGGCTGTGGGGCCATGATGTGCCCCCATCTGTCCCAGCTGTCTGCGTGTGAGCAGGGCTGTGCTGGGGGGCCCATCCTTGCTGAGTTCCTCCCCAGTGCTGTGCAGTAGGTGATGATGAGAGTGCTCACTGCGTCCTGCTGGCACCCAGCACTTCATTCTAAAGTGTCGAATGCAGTTTCTTTACTCAGAATCAGTTAGGTGTGTTGTCCTTTACCAGTGTTTTAGTTAAGTGACACTTAGCTCTGACCTCGGCAGTAGGGGAATGTTTCCAGCGCCCATATCTAGCGGTCATCACCGTTTCTCTGAGTCGACAGCGATTAACCTGCTGACAAGCGCTCCTTTTGTGAAGACAGTCCTGATGAAAACTCTCTTTCCCACCCAGAGAGAACCAGCTGAAGAGGCCTTGAAGAGTAACAACATGAATCTCGATCAGGCCATGAGTAAGTCACAGGGCACGCTTAGTCACTCTCTCAAAGGTTCCAGTCTCTGAGCTGCCAACTCCCAGAGTTGGCCTGGCCTCATGGCTACATGCTGGGCAGAGAGGATGGGTGCAGAGCAGGAAGGGACAGCCGGCACGGTGGGCACTGACAGGAAGCAAGCCCCTTGTGACTGCTGGGACTTTGGGGATGAATGGCCAGGGCCACATCACAAGCATGTTTGCCTTTTCCTTTTTTCCAGTACGTCACCAAATAGATGCATGTTCCCCATCTGTTCTGGAGGGACATGACAGTGACCCTCAGAGAATCTAGGATGACTTGCCAGGGTGCTCGGTGCTCACAGAGCACTCACCTTGTGCCTCGCACCAGAGAGGGCGCTGTCAGGCCAGAGAGGCGCAGCCGCACCAACCGAGCATGCACTGGTGTTGGGAGAGGATTTCCTGTCAAGGAGCAAGGGACCCAAGTTCTTGAGCTGTTTTACACGTAATAGTAGCCATGTTAAATGTGTCCACGTGTAAAATGTAATCCAGTGCAAGTGCCAAAGTGTATGGTGTAGGCTGCCAGGACAGAGGAAGGTCAGCGTGGGCTGGAGCTCTGGGAGATCAACTTCTTAGAATTGTGAAATAGCACAAAATTAAAGGGAGCTAAATGAACGCTGATCACTCAAAGACCCGTGAGGACAGAAACTGTGTCCGCACAGCTAGCAGAGTCCCTGCAAATAACAGGGACTCAGTAAGTGGAAAGTGACGGCCCTAGACAAGGTCAGAGGGATGGGGACAGTGGGTGCCTGCTTGCTGGAAAGAGGCAAGCCTAGGGAGACGCCTCCCAGCAGGAAGCAGAAGTGTCGCTGGAGGGAGTCAGGGGCGGGTCAGAGCAGCAGGGCAGATCCCAGAGAAGCCTGATACCATGGCGGAGTGCAGAACAGAGCGCCCGATCACCCCAGCCGCCCCTTCCTCTTCGGCGGGAGGGTCCGAAATCCTTGCGGAGGCATGAGCTATGGGTAGTGTCTCGGTGCTCGGCACTCACCAGCGCCTCGTGTCACGTGTGCCTTCTGTGTGCCGTGCTCCAGGCGCTCTGCTGGAAAAGAAGGTGGACGTGGACAAGCGTGGGCTGGGGGTGACCGACCATAACGGAATGGTCACCAAGCCCCTCGGCTGCCGCCCACCAATCTCCAAAGAGTCTTCCGTGGACCGCCCCACCTTTCTTGACAAGGTAGGGGTTTAAGTGGTCTTCTGGTCATTTGTTTATTAAGCAGGAGTTGATTTTCATTTTAACTGTGTCCCTAATGCAAGCCCGATAAAAACTTGATGGGCTGCAGTATTCAAGTGATTGTTGCTCGTTTTTTCTCACACGTGTGTGTGTATGTATGGATACTTATATATCTGTGTGTACGTGTGTGTGTGTGTGTAAGTATGTAACTCGAAGGAGATAATGTCGTATTTCATATGATGTTATTGGCAATGGAAAATATTGAAATTGAAAGCTGGTTTTTCATTTGTACTGTGTAAACTTGCCTGGGTTATCTGCTTTGATCTGTCCAGTAGACAGGAGCCATCAGCCTGTTTTACTATCTTATTTTAAATACTCGGTCCTTTCAGCTGGAGATGGTGTGTTACAGGTTTAAGCTCAGAGAAGGGACTAGAAGCGGGAGTGGGCTTGGCCGCTGCGTTCGGCCAGCCCTTGCTGGGGTCAGCCCTGACACCTGCTCTGCCACTTCAGCGAGCACTGCAGGTGTCTCCTGCAAAAACAGTCCAGGCACCAGCTCAGTCCTTTCTGGTTTGGTCATGGGGCACGGGCGTGTGGGTGTGACCTCAAAGGGAAGAGAGAACATTGCCTTAAACTCAATCAGAATATTGAACCTTGAAAACAAAATTGAGACAAAAAAGGACAAGTTTTTAAAAATGACAAGAATCCAGAGGAGGCATCTGAATATCACCGATGAGACTTTACTTCTGTTCTCAAATAAACGGGGTCCTCCAAGCCGCTCCGCTGCAGTGTAGCGGCGGAGTGCAGCCGAGAGCCAGGGCCCGGTCCTTGTGCCCTTAACTAGTGTGGGTAGGGCCCAGATAAAAGGTGGATGCCCAGACAAACAGTGAATAATCTGGGGGACATATTTAAATATTGAAGAAATGATTTGTTGTTCATCTGAAATACACATTTAAACGGGCATCCTGTGTTTGTATTTGCTAAAGCAGGCATCCCTGAGCGTGGGTCCTGACCTATCACTGCCCTGCTTTAAAGGTCAGTGGACTAACGCTGCACACCTAGCAGGCTTGTGTAAGATTGCTGAAATGAATTTGCAAAGCACCTGGCACACAGCGCAACCTCTACAAATGTAAAAAAAGGGAAAAAAAGAGATCTGTCCGTGTTTTATACCTAGTGTAAGGTTGAACCAGGGCCCTCGTGACGCAGTGGTTAAGCGTTAGGCTGCTAACCCAAAAGGTTGGCAGTTTGAATCTACCAGCCACTCCTTGGAAATCCTGTGGGGCAGTTCTGCTCTGTCCTGTAAGATCACTGTGAGATGGAATTGACTCAATGGCAGTGGGCTTTTGGTTTTAGAAGATTGAACCAGGTCAAAAACAGTTGAATGTCAGCAGATTCAACCTAATGCATGCGTAGACCTTGGTAAAGAACTTTCCAAAAGGAACTTGTTTGTTTGAAAATGAAAGGGCTGTGATGTGTGTTCCAAATAAAAAACTTCTACACTATTTCTCTCCCCTTCTCCTTCCTCCTCCCCTAGACAGGGCCAGTAGTGACTAAGAATATTACAGATTAATGTATGTGTTTGTAAAGTGTTGCAAAAAGTGAAAATAGCATCTTAATCCTGTTTCTCTTGTTCTTTTTCCTCTCTTGCTTTTGCCCATCTTCTCCATTCCCTTATTATCCATACTTTTTGATCTTTTAATTTCTTTTACATCCATACCCTTATATCACCCTGGGAAACTGTGTTGTGCTTTGTCTGCTGCTGGGCCTTGCGCACAGCTCACCCTCTCTCTCTCCAATCAGGACGGCGGCCTCGTGGAAGAGCCCACTCCTTCACCATTTTTGCCTTCACCAAGCCTGAAGCTCCCCCTTTCAAACAGCGCACTCCCCGGTCAGACCCTGGGTGGGATTGCCTCAGGGCTGGGCGTGCAAAACTTGAATTCTTCTCGACAGGTAAGGCTGTTGGGAGAGACCAGAGCCTGGTTTTTGCTTCACCTGCCTTTAAACAGTGTGCTGGAAAAATAAACCTTCTTCTTTTTAGTCAGTGCCTGTATTTTAAAGTAGACCTGGATATGTAAAGGTGGTTGAAACACTGTAAAGGTTTCCTCCCGGTGATTAACTAGAGTCAAGAGTTGAATAACAGTTCTTAAAATGTAATCGTGTTATAGGAAATGCTTCAAAACTGTATTTGCTTTTACACTTACCTAAAAGTATTTGACTTCTCAGCGCTCTCGGCACGAACATAATACTAGTTTACGTGATAACATATTGCAGAGTCAGCTCCCTGTCCCAGATCCATCCGTGGACCTGGGTGGTGCCAGTCCTCTTTCTCATGGCAATCAAAACTCTCCATATGCTGATCTGTAGAAAACACTGCTTTCTCCCTTTCCTCCCGGGAGGGGGCGGCTTCTTTCCTGAGGTTCTCGGTGCTTTTCACAGAGTCATGCTGGCAGTTTTCCCGACCTTACCACTCTTTGGGAAAGGTGAAAATCGCTGTGTTGGAAGTTAACAAAGGGCCGGGCCCAGGAGTTTGGACTGCTGGCCACTTTGTCTCGCTTCTCCCCACAGATTCTCTGATGGGAAATGAGACATGAACGATGCCTTTCCATCTGCAGAGCTTCTTTCTATTGATTTTCTTAGGCATGAAGTTCACACACACACTCCTTTGAGACTGAATCTTTAAAAGATGCCCTCGGAGAGGCCGAGCAGTAACCCTCCCAAGTCTGCCGGTTGTCACCGTGTGATTATTAACAGTAACACTGCCCGCCCGCCCTCCACAGTGTCCCAGTTTGTATGACCTTAGTGAACTTGCATTGCTAACCCTGGTGGTGATGGTGGTTGTGTGCTGTTGAGTCAGTTCATAGTGACCCCATGTGACAGAGGAGAACTGCCCCATAGGGTTTCCTAGGCTGTAATCTTTACGGGAGCAGATTGCCAAGTCTTTTCTTCCACGGAGCCGCTGGTGAGTTCCAGCCACTGACCTTTCAGTTAGCAGCCGAGCGCTTAAAGCCACCTTAAAGCCAGCCAGCCGGGGCAGGCCCTTGTCACTGACACGTGGAGCTGGGTTGCTGCTCAGGCCGTTCAGACCGCTCTCCTCCACAGGAGTTGTCAGTGCTCTTACTTCACCTCTTTGCTGGGTAACTCATCACAGTGGAGGAGAAATGACAACTGAAACACGTGGAAAAACACAAAATTAACCATTGAGTTTGTCGATTTTTTACATAGCAGCGTTTGTTGAAATAAGTGATATTTCCTATTGGACAATTTTGCTTTTCTCTCAGGTTAGTAATGCCCTCATGTTACTGTTTAACTGTTGTCATACGGATTCTTCTGGAAATGTAAATTATCCAAGTAGCTACGTACGCAGCTCTTTGGAAACACACATTGTTAAAAGAGTCTTTGCCGGCGGCAGCCTGGTTAGGGACACTGTAGGACTGGCACTGCCGGTGGCTTCTGTGAGTGAAAGCATGTACCAGCCTCCTAGGCTGCCCCCGTGTCACGTCACGGTGGGAACCACAGCGATGCAAAGCTCTGCGTGGTGCAGGGGGACGCTGGGAGGAGGTGGAAACAAGCGTGCGTTTACCTGTAGGAAACAAATGATGACACCCCCGTCCAGAAGACGTGCGTGTGACTCCTCCCCTGGTGACGGCGCCCTGCTTGGTCTCCCTCCAGATACCGAGTGGCAATCTGGGTATGTTTGGCAATAGCGGAGCAGCACAAGCCAGGACCATGCAACAGCCGCAGCCGCCGCCAGCGCAGCCTCTCAGCTCCTCCCAGCCCAGTCTCCGTGCTCAAGTGCCTCAGTTTCTATCCCCTCAGGTCAGACCCGCAGCCGCCAGCCGGGGAGACCCAGACATGGGCCGGGGGGGTCTGGTGCCACCAAGCGGTCACATTTTAAAGTAAGAGTGAGATGAGCCCGCATCTGAGAGGAGGCCTCCCCATTTGTCCGCTGCAAAGTGACGCGAGTCTCCCGCTCCTGGAGACATCAGCGCTCACTCCGTGGAGTGCCTCAGCCGGGCAAACCAGGGCCAGCAGCCGTCTGGTCAGAGCCACGGTGACGGGAAAGGACGGGCCTGACACTGCTGTTGATCCGTGGTTTGGTCCTGGTCTTTTCTGAGAAAGTAATTGAGATGAACCCAGTGATTCTGCCTAGGCTAGTGGGAGGGAAACTGAAGGCTAAAGTATTGCTTTCCACTGCGGTCGAGTAGATTCTGACTCATAGTGGCCCTGTAGGACAGAGTAGAACCGCCCCGTAGGGTTTCCAAGGCTGTGGTTGATCTTTATGGAAGCAGACTGCCACATCTTTCTCCCACAGAGCGGCTGGTGGGTTTGAACCGCTGACCTTTCAGTTCTCAGCCGAGCGCTTAACCACTGCGCCACCAGAGCTCCTTAAAGTATTGCACAGGGTGTAAAATAAACCTCCTGGAAGCAGTCAAGGACTGAGTAAGAGACATGTATTTCTTCTCAGGCTGTGGTGCAGAGAGGATGGGTGGGGCTATGGGGAGGCTCTGCCGTGGCCGTCCCCAGGCCACAGGAAGGGGGCCCGAGCAGGCCGGGCAGCCCCTGTAAAGAGATGGCCCGGAACTCCCCTGCCTCCCACTGCCCACACTTAGTCACACAGCCACACCTGGCCACTAGGCCAGGGGCCGCAGCCTAAGCAGGCGGCAGAAAGACCAGGCAGAAGGAGAGACCAGACACGGAGGGGCAGCTCACGTCCTCCACACAGAGCACCCGCACAGCTGCCAGACTTCATCCACGCTCCGTATCGCCAGACCACCTGTCTTTGTTACATCCTATTTTTTCTTTAAATTTACTCACCTTTTTAATTTAAATAAATTTATTTTTAGAGAGACTTTAAATGTCAACATTTTTGTAGTACACATTAGGTAACTGTCTTAGTCATCTAGTGCTGCTGTAACAGAAGTACCACAAGTGAATGGTTTAACAAAGAGAAGCTTATTTCCTCTCAGTCAAAGTAGGCTAAAACTCCAAATTCAGGGTGTCAGCTCCAGGGGAAGGCTTTTTCTCTCTGTCGGCCTTCTCATCAGTGTTCCCCTGGACTAGGAGCTTCTCAGCGCAGGGACCCCTGTCCAAAGGACGCACTCTGCTCCCGGCACTGCTTTCTTGATGGTATGAGGTCCCCCTGTCTCACTGCTCACTTCTGTCTTTCATATCTCAAGAGATTGCCTCAGGACACACAATCCAGTCTTGTACATCGGGTCCTGCCTTACTAACACAACTGCGGCCCATCCTCCCTCATTAACATCATAGAGGCAGGTTTACAACATACAGGAAAATCACACAGTACCAGGAATCATGGCCCAGCCAAATTGGTATACACATTTTTTGGTGGACATAATTCAAACCATGACAATAACTATTAAATTTTCTAAAAGCTCGTCCATGGCCCACCTAAAATCATCTCGTCTACCTGTACCGCAGTCATGGTCCCGTGCGTCTGTACGTGCTAGCGGGGTAGGGCAGGAGAGACCCCCTAGAGGTGCGTCACCTCCGTGAGCAGAGGGTAAACAGCTTGCTGAGCACGTCGTATTGAGCGGGGCTTACGGATGTGGGGATCTCGAGAGAGGGTCGGGAGAATGAGGTGCTGGTGACAGGTAGGAGGGAGGGCCCCCCCGGTCTGAACCTCTTGTGAGGGTGGCATGGTGCCCTCTACAAAGCTCTCGCAGGGGCTGCTCCAAACTGCCTGTGAGGGGTGGGCCACTCTCCAGTCTTATGTGCCGCCCGGCCATGGGAAGCCTGGTCTGTTTTCATTGACAGAGCATGAAATCAGACCCCGAACCTTAGAAAGTTCCTTCACAGCTACAATATCTGGAGGAAGCTATCACTTTTTCTTTGTTCTTTCATTCTTTCCTTGTGGTCTTCACAAAGCATGTTACTGCTAATGTTAAAATGTCCATACATTTTTAAAGGCTTTTGACGTTTTCTTGTGAGACAAATAAAATCGTCATTTTCAGTAACCAGTCTCAGGTTTCAGAAACTTCAGTGCTTACTGGTATGTTTTGTGTTGAACAGGTTCAAGCACAGCTTTTGCAGTTTGCAGCAAAAAACATTGGTCTCAACCCTGCACTATTGACCTCGCCAATTAATCCTCAGCATATGACGATGTTGAACCAGCTCTATCAGCTGCAGCTGGTGAGTGGCCGGGTGTCCTGCAGTTACAGGACAGAGGTGGCAGGCTGGCTGACGTTCACGCGCCGTGCCGACAGCGCACAGACTGACAGACAGACAGACAGACGTAGTAATCGGGTGCCTTTCTTCCTGTTGGGGCTTGCCGCTCTCAGCTGTCACTGGCTGAGGATGTGTTTCACGTACGGGTGTTTTTACTAAGCTCTGTAGATCCTTTGGCCCCTTCGTGGTCAGAAAGTCAACCAGATCTTCTCACCTGGCATGCCTTTTAGCTAGCTCCCTCAACCAGCCTTTCTCATCTGAACCACGGGACCCAGAAAATCATCTGAGTGACTCTTCTCTCTGTCCTTCCGAGGGTAGGACATAAATAGCATTGTAGAAGCACAGAAGAGAAGTTAGTAGATGCCTTGGAGCATATGGACTTCATTCTCTTGTAGAACCCTGACTGAGAAAGGCTGGCATCGCCTAATAATTCTTGAAAGCCTTTGTAATGTAACATATTTTGAATTTTTAATTTTCAAAATCTTACTGCTTTTACTATAAAATGTCATGTCGTTGTATCCCTAGAGGCATACTGAATTTATATATGTTAAAGGACCAAATGTATCATCCCATCCTTTAATATGTTGACACCTGATTTATTTAGAGGTCTCATTTAGCAATGTCATCTCCTGGGAAATGACCGAGACCCATGAAGGAAGCAACCCAGAAGGCCTCTGATAGACAAGACCATTGACATAAAGCCTTTACTCCTAGGGGAACCCGGAGCCCTCAGTCCTTCTTGTATCTTGGTTAGATGTGCGTCTAACAAGCTGAGTGTCTGGTTTTCCAGTAAGTGGCAGGCGAGAGACAAGCATGCATGTCCTGGGGCCGTAGCACTCAGGAAGTAGAGAGAGCTCTGGACGTTTCTTCACCCACACACGGGGGCTGCGGTGCCTTACAGCCCCGTGGTGAAGATGCGAGAGGCCTGGCAGCACTGTGGGCAGGTGATTCAAGTGTCAGGTACTATTGCTTTACTACTGCAGCCACAGGAAGAGGCCCCTGACCACAGAGGAGAGCAAAAAACTGTAAGATTAGGCACCGTTTAAAAAGCACATTTGGAACTACGACGGTAGAGGAAAACAGCCTTCTATCCCTTGATAACGAATAAGATACTGCTGTATTCTGACATGACACCACAGTTCGTATCATACTGATTTCTGATATCTTGTGTTTTTACAATAATTTTTTGTTGAGTCCCTGTGGTGTGAAAAACATCAAGAAAATGTGAAGTTTTGTTTAATGCCTCCTATTTTTAAAATGTGTTCTGTTTTTAGAAATTTGTTCCACAAAAATGGGTAAAATAAAGTTTTGATCAAGTGCAGTTTTAGGACCTACAAGGATTCACTTAAGTGACATGTTTTATTTCCGTAATGTCCAGACAAAGGAGGTGTGTCCAGTGGTAGAATCTCCGCCTCTATTTAGATTCTGCTTTAGCAGGCCCTCTCACCAAAAATGTATAGAAGTCCGTGTTGTAGGAAAGTCATTTACAGTAGTCCATCAATATTTGGAAAGAATAAAATGATCAAACCCTCTTGCGTCAGTGTGCAGGGAACATCACTGACAGTAATTTCAGCCGCCGTTGTAGGTGGCAGGTTTATGTGACGGAAGTGCCCACGTGTGCGTCTCGGGCTTGCTGTCAGCTCAGCCCCGTGACGTGGGCTGAGAACAATGGCTGCCTAGTGTGCCGCAGCGTGAATCCTGTGGGTCTCTGATGGTTCCCACCGCCTGTTAGCAGTGTTCTACTGAATTGTTGGGCTGTTCTGGACAACTTTAGACTATATCATTATAAGAATCCTTTTTTTTTTTTTTTTCATTTTCCTCTCATTTTTTTAATTTTTAGTTTGTATGAACCAAACAGAAGAACTTTGATCTCTTCATTAACTGAGAAATATTTGCTGGCAAACTTCACTGCCAGCAGTAAACGGGTGTCAGTTTAGTTACTCATTAAAAATCCATGCCCTAAAGACATCTAGGTGAGACGTGTCCTTTTGAAAATGCCGTGTGCCCCCACGGCATGCTTCAGCCACGGCGTGGTCAGGAAGCCAAGCGCCTTGGTCGTCGTCTGTTTTACCTTGTAAGTAACGTACAGGAGTTGGGCTGGTGGCCATTGTGTGACACGCAGGCTCTCTTTCTTGTCTGCAGGCGTACCAACGTTTACAGATCCAGCAGCAGATGTTACAGGCCCAGCGGAATGTTTCCGGACCCATGAGGCAGCAGGAGCAGCAAGTGAGTGTCACAAGGTGGACGTCCTCACGGTTTGGGAGTGGGTGGCCTGGGCGTGAAAGTAGGGGAGAGAACGGATGTTGCTTCCAGCCTCGCTGATGCACGCGTGTCTCCGGCCTCCAGGTTGCGCGCACAATCACTAACCTGCAGCAGCAGATCCAGCAGCACCAGCGCCAGCTGGCCCAGGCCCTGCTCGTGAAGCAGCCCCCGCCACCGCCGCACCTGTCTCTGCACCCCTCTGCAGGCAAATCGGCCATGGACAGCTTCTCCCCACATCCCCAGGCTCCCGGCCTCCCCGACCTGCAGACCAAAGAGCAGCAGTCTTCGCCCAGCACCTTCACTCCCTACCCTCTAGGTGAGCGCCTGTGCTCCCACGCTCGCCCAGGAGGGCACACTTAGAAACGCACGTGCTCGGTCACACTTCTGATGGTGGTTCTCTTCCCACCAAGCACTCTGTCCCACTCACAGCTCGTGTCCCCTTCTCATCGTCATACTCACAGTGCTGGTCCTGTCAGATACCCTGGCACTTGCCTTTAGCTCTAAGAAGTACCCCAGGAGCGTCAGCTCGCTGCCCCAGCCGTGGGCAGACAGCCACGTCCACACCCCAAGTAGTTTAACTCCTGAAAACTTGCCTGATACAGTGAATCCTGTGAGAGCTGGAACTCAAAAGGACTGCCAGTGTTTTTCCGGGTCTCGCAAGTTTTCCACTTTTGACGGGGTGCAGTTTTACCGCTTTTCTATCAGTGAAAAGTATTTGAACTCTCCTTCTGTGACAGGTTTCTGCCTTACATGAACTCCAGCTTTTGCAGGTTTCACTGTATTTAATTCATAAACTCCTTCAGAGCAACGTAGGTAAAGTATACTCACCAGAAACCATGATTCTGACTCATACGACCCTATAGGACAGAGTAGAACTGCCCCGTAGGGTTTCTAAGGAGCGGCTGGTGGATTCGAACTGCTGAACTTTTGGTTAGAAGCCGAGCTCTTAACCACTGTGCCACCAGGGCTCCAGGGAAACCTTTAGGGTGTCCTAATTTAGAGTAAAATAGGCACACCTTAATGCCATCTCTTCTTTCAGCCGGACTGAACCCAAACATGAATGTAAACAGCATGGACATCACGGGTGGCTTGTCGGTGAAGGACCCCTCGCAGTCCCAGTCACGCCTGCCTCAGTGGACTCACCCCAACTCCGTGGATAACTTACCCAGTGCTGCTTCTCCTCTGGATCAGAACCCTAGCAAGCATGGTGCGTTGACTCCGCAAGCCTCTGCTTGGGGTTACTGCTTATCTTACTAATCCATTATCCAGTTGTATAACATGCTCATCTGTGGATTTCTTTTCGTCGGCTTCTTCACTGGAAACCATGGTTGTGGTTGCTACACTTTTTTCTGTAGCCCCCTTAGTTCAATGAAAGGAGAGGGGGGAAGGAAACAAATAGCCGATTCCATTCCAGAGTCAATAAGATCCCAACTATTGAATGATCAAACTCCTTGAAACCTCTCCTGCATATCTTAGCTACAAACCCAGAAGTAACTGGAAATGCCCAGAGCAGCAAAGTATATAAGGCATCGCCTCTATACTTTTTATTTTTATCTGTCTTCTTCAGGAAAGAATTTTAGTCCGCTCAACAGAAATTTTTACAATAAAATGATAAAAATAGGAAATTAAATGCTTAGAAAGGAGGAAGAAGCAAAAAATGCTAACCATATGAGTTAAGATCACTATTAAGCGTTAAATTTAGTTCTGAACTCCCTGGTAGTAAAACAGCAAAGGAAATTTAATGGGTTATATAATTCTCTCTTGATATAAAGCATTCTAAAAAGAAGGAGAAAATTCTTCTTAATGGTTAATTCTGCAAGAAACCATCCCAGGACAACTGGGCCCTGCATTTGGCAGGAGAGAGCGCAGTCGCCCTCAGCTGGTCGGCTTAGGAAGTACATGTCTCCGTCTGCTGGTCGCAGGAGCCCAGCTGGCTTGTCCTTCCGCAGCTGTGGCAGGTGAGGGCAGCAGCCAGAGGGAGGCCAGGACACAGAGACACCAGAAACCTGATAGCTAACCACAAGATGCTTAAGTTGTCCCCCAAAAGTATATTATGGGCAGCCTTCTGTGGCATGGATATGCATTTTATAAAGATTTCCAGCCTGACAAACTGTTCTTACCAGTTGCCTTCAAATTGACCCGCCTCCTGCCCCCCTCACCCCCTACCCCCCATATGTCAGAGTGGAACTGTGCTCCACAGGGTTTTCAATGGCTGACTTTTCAGAATTAGATCACCAGGACTTTCTTCTGAGGTGTCTCTGGATGGACTCAACCCTCCATCCTTTTGGTTAGCAGCCAAGCGCGTGAGCCATTTTCACCAGCTGGGGACTCCAGAGCTATTCTTAAAGCCTTCAGTCTTTAAAGGACTGCATTTGGGCTGACATTCACTTATTCTCTGAGAAGGCTCTACAAACGAAACCTTATAATTAGTGTAACTTTGGAAATGCCAAAACCTTGTATCGGGAAACGCAGGGTCTCCAGGTCTGCTCTGGTGTCAGGAAGGAGTGTTCACTTGGCCCTTTGTTTCTGGTCCCCGTAGGTGCTATCCCTGGAGGCCTAAGCATCGGGCCTCCAGCTAAGTCCTCCATCGACGACTCCTACGGCCGGTACGATTTAATCCAGAACAGTGAGTCACCAGCCAGTCCTCCTGTAGCTGTTCCCCACAGCTGGTCACGTGCCAAATCTGACAGTGATAAAATCTCAAACGGCTCCAGCATTAATTGGCCCCCAGGTAAGAGCAGGGAACACCTCTGTGTCACAGACAGGAACATGCTTCCAGCCCTAGGGGTGATAGAACTTCTGAGAGCACGCACCCCATAGCATCGGCTTCTTCACTGGAAACCGTGGTTGTGGTTGCTACACCTTTTTCTGTAGCCCCCTTAGTTTAGTGAAAGGAGAGGGGGAGCATGGAGAACAGAGAAGAGGCCCAGCGTGCCACCCGGTAGAATGACATGCTTCTGGACTTTGTCATGCTCTCTGTGGAAACTGCTTTTGTGTGGCGGCTACAATGCCTGGTTCTCATTTGTTCCAAAGGCTTGGTGAGTTTAATGGAAGAGAGCCTAAGGTAGTCTCTTAGTTTAATTAGCAGATTGTTAAGGCTTCCACAGACTGAAAAAACAAACAAACCAATTTTTGATATCATGAAGAAAAGTGACAGTAGTCTGACATGTAGCCTCGTATTTTGGTTTTCATGAACAGAATTTCATCCTGGAGTACCGTGGAAAGGACTTCAGAACATCGATCCCGAGAACGACCCTGATGTCACTCCGGGCAGTGTCCCCACGGGGCCTACAATTAACACCACCATACAGGACGTTAACCGCTACCTCCTCAAAAGTGGAGGTGAGGAGAGCGGGTGCTCATCTGCACACGTGCGGGAAAGCCCCCCTAAGCTCCCTCAGGTGCGCCATCTCTGACGGCAGCCCTGGTGCAGGGCAGCTATGGTATAAGTGTAGTTGATGGGGCGCCCTCTGGCCACCTTGCGCAGTAGAAGAAGGTAGTGCTTGTGGTAAAAATGAAAGTTGACGTTAAGCATTTTGCTGGCTTTATTAACACGTCATTTTTTAAGCATTCTTTCAAGCCTTGTGTTAAAAATCACAATATTAACCATTAAACTTGTTAGTGGAAAAGTTTCCAATTCAAATTCGGTTTTCTCTAAACTAAAAATGAGCCGACTCAACACACCCACCCCAGGGTAGTCTTTGGTCCACAGAAAGTCGGGCGACGAGACAAGTGTGTCCCAGGTCTTTCTCCCTGGCACAAACTGGTGGTGCTGATTTCTGGCACACGCTGTGTCAGCCTGGGGTCCGGCTGCAGTACCCAGAGAGGCAGCTGTGACGCTGTAGAGCATGAACACACCTTGCAGGTCCGGCAGTGAGAAGGGCACTACCCCATCCTCCCCTCAGGCCCGCAGGTGAAGAAATGCTGCCTCGGGCGTAGTCTTGTTGTTCTTCTAATGTGTGGAGACAATCACTAAGGACACAGATGTTTATCACTAGGAGGGCCCCGTGGTCAGGTCCCAAGAACACGACTCCAGGTTACTTATTCACAGTGGGGCCCACAGGAGAGATGGGTTGTTGCTGTGGCCTTCAAAGTGATGAGATTCTAAAGGGGTCTGAGGTTCGGCCAGAAGGCCGACAAAATACACATCATCTCACCTTCTAACGCGCATTCCTTGTTCCTCGGCACAACCGTTTCTGACTGCCGGGCAGGGCAGCCTCCCTGCGGCCAGGGTCCTGTGAGTGGACGGCAGCACAGAGCTGTGGGAAACAGAGCCCACCTGTGTGCAGCACAGGAACGAGACGTGGCCCAGGCAGACGTAGAGGACCCACTGAGTGTGACAGCAGGTTGTGCCAGAGCGGAGAGGAGTAGGCATTGTGTTCTGAGGGTTGTCGGCAGTGTGGTGAGGTGGTGCTGAGTCAGAGCGGGGACAGAGGAGGCTGCTGTGAGGGTTGTGGGTGGTGCTGAGTCAGAGCAGGGACAG